TTACTGAAGGTGAATGCGTTCGTTTTCCGCTGTTTCTCATTGATGGCAGACGTATCGCATGTAAAACCAATACTAATTAGTCTAAAATCGAATTATTTGTACCGGTATCGTTAACGCCAATTCCTTCCTATTTTTCGAACTGAACCCGATATTTGGACAGAGAATATGCGCATGAAATTTCGATAACAATATGGTCAATGAAAACAGCGGGGACAGCTTTAAATGTAAGAATGTAGGCCTATGTAGTAAAATCGGAAAATGTGAAAGTTACAAAATCGTTGTCTTTTGAGGCGTCCCGATTTGAAGTCACAAAAAGATGGTAACCCTAGTTATAATGACATTTCTACTAGTCAAATATTCATTCCTTGGTAAAATTTCGCACAATAATTTGTTATTACTTTGTTTGACATTTTTAATTTTACGAAACGGTATTGTGGCGCTTTATGCATAACTTAGAATTGAAACAATACACAAATACAACTCCTGCCGTGGGGTAATTCTCGCGGAATTCGAGGGATTGAATCACTTGAAACAAATTCAAAAATGAAGTCTCTTCGCGGCACACCAAAATCATTTCGCGGCACAAGACAAGGTGGTTGGGAATCACTGAGTTACGGCAATGAAGTAATTGTTACATAAGACATAATATTCACATTTGCGCCTGTGAGGGATACGGGGCAAGACAACCTAGTCGAACAATGACCTCTCGTCCGGTTAGGGCAGCCAACCGTCCCGGAATGGCCGGGACAGTCCCGGAATTGACGTCTGGCGTCCCGGGCTGGGCTACGGTTGTCCCGGAATTTACTGGCAACCACAGCAATCTAATATACGAGAGTCTAAGGAGGCCAAGTAAGGTTGCTGGCTTCGTCTAAAAGTGGAAACGGATGTAATTCACGCGAATATCTGTATGTGCCATGCAAATAGAAGTGAGCTGAAATTTGTCAATAAGACATGTTTTACCAACCGTGACTTTCTAGTGACATAACAATCAAGTAAGTTAAAACAATTGCAAAATGGATTGCATATATACAGCAGTCACCTTAAATAGCATCATTCAACTTGGTATATCAATTGAAAAAATGCGGGTAGTTTCAAAGCGTTTCTGTAGCTGCAAGTCGGTTAAAAGGCAAGTAAAGAAGGAATATTAAAAGTAGTGGTTCCCAAACGGTAAGGCGCGCTCCACAAGGGGGACGTAGATAATTTTTTTAGTGGGCGTGAAGCTAATTAACAATAAAAATATTCGTTAGATTTGATCTTGCTTGCCCTGTTTTGAACATTTACATTCCTTATTTTGTCAACCAAAAACAATTATTTTCGTTCCGTCCGCGCATTTTCAACGTCGTATTTTTTGAATAAAACATACTTTCACATTACTATCTGTTATTTGTATCTTATTGTGAGCTAGTTATTTTTGAGGTAGAGCGCGAAACCTGCTAAATTATAGAAAGGTGTAGCGGATTAAAAAGTTTGAGATCCACTGGATTAGATTGATTCGTTTGTATTTATGCCTCAAAGATTTAACATTCAAGTTTTTTTGATTAAGTTAAAATTATTTAGAGGCTTGAATTTATGAAAATAACGCCGCGGGATGATCACTCTTCGACGCACAGCGCACACTGTTTCTTTTGATGTATTTTTTGATTCACAAGCTTTTGTTTCATTAATTTTCAAATTCTAGTCGTTAAGGTGTCCCGGAATGTTTCAACACAAAGTTGGCAACCCTACGTCCGGTTACCAGTCATGTGGAATATTTTACCAGTTATTCGTTATACGTAAGGGGATGGTAGGTAGACCACAGTAACCGACCAACCAATTTGCTTCATTTTTTGCATTTTCCAGTGAATTATTGGTGCCGACTGTCGAGTGTCGGTTATCCGATTGCAAGTCTTTAATTTTTTAAAGACGTAAAACACGCTTTATTCTAAATGATTTTTCGCGACCCGCTTGTTCTCCCGAAAAGTTAGGTACAACAGACGTTAGATGTTAAAACATTATTTCATTTGCGATTAATTTAGATCAACTATTATATGCGAATATATTTCATTTTACGACACGCTGTTTCCGAAATTACAAAATTATATCGAAAAACGAGGCATTTTGTTACATTTATTTTGCATTCCCAATAAAACACATACTTTGCGGGATTCAGGTCGGACATGAATTCGACCCTATCGTCCAAGATTGACACACGTGGCTAAAGACAGTTTTCGCATCCAGCCTCAACTATGATGGGCCTATGTAAAACGTATCGCCATGTTAGAAAAAAACACGCTGACATACCTAATCTAAAGGTAAAAAATCAGCGATAGAGAAGCCCGGCCCGACCCGAACATATCGATTGACATTCCAGGCCCGACCCGACACGAATTTCGGGTTGGGCTTCAGATCTCAGCTCTAACTTAATTATAATTGTCCTTAAATCAATCATTTTCCACCATAAAGATAAATTAACGCATTCTTTACCTAGAGCGGCCACATAAAGTGAGACCTGTCTGGCCTTACATCCAATAAATTCTCAGCAGGTGTGTTTTAGTACAAACCTCTAGTTTTTGTATTCCACAATTTTCTATTAAAATCTATAATGCTCAATACATTTAACATATCAGTACCCCATGAATTTTGAACAATTCAAGGCAAAAAGAATATTGTTTGAGATTCCTAAATTTTTTTGGTAATGAATAAAATTCAATTCTCATGTCATTTTTAATAAAATACAAAGGCTGATATACTTTCACAATTTTGCTTTTTTAAATTGAAATCCATCAATGCAGTGGAATTACCACATTTGAATAAGAATAGAACTGACACCCCGTAAGTACTGTAGAAACTCGCCTATAGGTCGCAACTTTTTTTCTTATATTTAAAAAAATATATAGGTGCGACCAATCCAATCCGCTCGACATAAAGTTTTTAAATAATTTTTTTTAACAAATTTATGTGTGTACATGTTTTTGTCATTTCTCAAACAGGGTTAGGGGTTCGAATGTAGTGGCAATGATATACAGCAGTGGTCGGCAACCCTTTTCAAGTGACGGACCGGTAAAGCCTGACCAAAATTTTGGCGGACCACCCTTATACAAACGAAATAAGCCTATGCAATAAATTATACGTATTAGGAAATTTACTAAAAACGACGGTGATGCTATTTAATGCGATATCTGTATTTGTTTGATGGTCACTAACTGCTCCCATATTCTAGACATTGACACACTTAAAGTGTTTCTTTCATCTAACCTACTTCAATATTAGATGGTTTTTGTAGTTATCAAAAATTGAAAACCAGGCCTCACTTTAAAATTTCGGGTTAACATTTTGTTGGGGAGATCTTATTCGGACTGAAGAGGGACATTCTTATGCGGGCGTAGAGAAAACAATTGACGCGGCATTATTGCAACATACTGATATGACAATTGTTTATGAAGTCAGACATGCTGCTCAATAGTGTTGTGCAGTGGTCGGCAAACTTCATGTCCTTGCGGGCCAAATATACACGTTTCCGGTAGCGCGCGGGCTGCAATATTTCCGCCTTCGAACAATCGCTACATTAATTTCAAATTATGGCGCATTCGCATGGCTGTTTTTCTATTGCTGTGTTGAAATCCTGTCCCAATGAGATGTGTATGTGGCGTTTTTTAATATATTATTCAACAATACATTGTTTTTATTAACTTATTATCAATGTGAAAGATGATGTTTTTATGGCAACTCGTCGTCCAAATGATGATCTGACAAGCGAGTACAAAATTTAATCCAAGTGTAATGCATTTCAGATACAGCTGCTCAAGGCCACATGTTTATCCGAACGTGCACATTACATGTTTTGAACGGTCGAACAGATGAGCTGTGGTGCAGTCCCGGGCAGAATTTTCAACTACTCGTTTCATAACGAGTTTAATTAAAACATTGGAACCCTCAACATCTGCAATGCTAACTGGGCATATCGAGCAAACCGGTTTTGTAATGCCCAAGAAAGAAATCCTTTGTCGCTCCTTTCCCGGACATTTTCAAATTTTGAAAATCGAAATTAACTCGAACGACATATAACTGACGCTACTTGTTACATAAGAAGCGCCGTACAGCAGCACTTGTCACCACATAAATCCGTGTAGAGACAATAATAAATTTTTGTTTTGTCGGGTCGTTCGAGAGCCGCAACAAATTAGCTCGCGGGCCGCAACAAATTAGCTCGCGGGCCGCAGTTTGCCAACTCTTAGTTTTGTGTTTGTCTGGTTTATTGTTGGGTGCTGTTTTTTTATTTGTAGGGCTTGTGATTAGATTGCAGAGGTTTTATTACGGCCTCGTCTGTTTTTGTGTCACATCTCTGCGGACCGGCGGTGGGCCGCGGCCCGGTGGTTGCCGACCACTGATATACAAATTTGTAGCGAGTTGGTTATTCATGAAAATCGTATGGTTTGCACTTGCGTACATGCACTTATTATCGCTCATAGGTGTCATTAACATATTTTAATTATATTAAGCACTACAAAAAAATAGGGAATTACCTATGCAAAAAAGCTAAAGAAAGGGCCTTTTAAATCCTTAGATTTTCAGTGCGACTTATGTGCGAGTTAACTATAAATTAAACTTCTTTAACACAAAACTAATAGTGCGACCTATAGACGATATCCCACAATAGTAAATTATTTTACATTGCCCAACCCTATCGTCAGCAATGGAGCAGACTGTGTAAAACGGGAAATTGGTGCGCTCCCGTAATATGTGCACCAGGTTAGGTCATAATTATATTCCAATTTATCTTATTTTCGTTCACTGTCCATGCGACTCCCGTAGTCTGAAATTATGGCCTAACCTGGCACACATACTACGTTCCGGTGTCCGCCATCTTGGTTCACATACTGTGAGAGTATCTAAATTGGTAGTATTATTCCAAATAAGTCAAAGAGAGAGCTTGTTTAACTCATTCCTTGGGCGAAATATAAAACATTAGCAGACAAACGATTTTTTAGTGTGACCAATTCTCGACCAACTCGACACGGTAATTATCGGTCAGACAATGTTCATTTGTTGTCACAAAAAACAGAAACACAAAAAACTTATACATAGACACCAATAAACTTGACTTGAATGAGTCTAAATTAAACAGAGTCGTGACCCAAAAAAATTTGTTATAAAGATAAGATATCACTTCTTATCTCGGGGGAAAGGAAAATCGAATATATGGCTCAATCATATGGCGAACCATACCATTTTTTGTCTGTCCAGATACCAGCCTATGTCCGTTATGGTATTAGTCAGCCAGTTGTTTGTTCCAGACGCATGGACTTAATTAAGAACTGAACCACACTGAGGCTGAGAAGATTCCAGCAATCCTCTCACACATAATTATCCCATACATGATTCGAACTTTGCCTATGATATTTTAAAACTGGACAATGGGCAATTTCTCTCAGCCTAAAAAAAAATTTATAACATAGAACAACGCGATCGAAAAATTTGAACAGGCTCTGTCGCTATCACATTCACAAGCAAATTGATAGATCCTTCCGAGGGCCCTCCAGTGTCACGGGGTCACTTTGACTTCAGTTCATTCCTGCATCAGACGAATGTTAGGTAATTGTGGCAAAACACTTTCTCAAGTAATTTCGAAGCTGGACATTTCAAGATCATGGGTCTCTCAGCCTCAAAGAATCACTTATAATTTTCCATACATCATCTGTAGAAGTCAGAGTAAAATTTTGTGTGAAACCACGTAACGTATTGCTGTCATATTTCACAGTTCCGCTTACAGAAACTACCACTGTTGATTTTCCTTCTGTGAATTGTTGAAGAACTGGTTGGCTGTCAAAGCAGTCTATATTGTGGTAACATCCAGGAAGGTCCTAAATTGAAATATACACAGATAAATAAAAAGTGTAGTGCAGTGGTTTCCAACTTTTAATGGCTTGTGGCCCCCTATCCGGAAGCCTTCAGCAGTCATCATGGCCCCCTGTTTATCATTTCAGTGGTATTTATAGTGTTATCATGATTTGTATATTACATATCCCATTATGTTCAAACAATTCATGCTCAAGTAAGTGAAAACACTTTTGTGAAATGACCTTATCAAGCAATGAAACTAGGCAGAACGGAGAGTTTTCTTGTCAAGTAAAATCAGTTTTGCACCTTACATTGTGCCCCCTCCCCAACTGCTCTGTGGCCCCACTTGGTGGGCGGCCTAGGGTTGGGAACCACTGGTGAATATATTCTGCCTCTAGTTATTTATAAGTATAATAGTATAAGTATAAGTTTATTTCGACTCCATAATCAGCATAACAATACATTTGACAGATAAAAACAAATAAATAAAAACTGATTATGAAATCAGTTTCAGGCTTGTTTATAAACAAGCACCAAGTTTCCATTACAACACTACTTTATTGTAAGAGTCAAGCACTTCAAAATTGAGACACCATAGTTGTACAGACTAAGCAGCAAGTCACACTAACTTGTGCACAGATAGAATATGAATGCGTACAGCCTTGGATATAAAAGGCCAAATGCCGCACAGGCCAATAGCGCCACCTCGCGGTATGAAATTACATAATTACAATAATATATAACAGAAATGGAAAGATTATATATTCATTTCCTGGGTAAAAAAGGAATGAGACGGGTTATTAAAATTGCCTCTTGTATGGTGAGCAAACTAGTATTTGTACAACTCGACTCGAACCATGCCAATATCTCCCGATAAGACTGTACAATTGTAACGGACGGCTTATATGCAAATTTTTATAAATTCACTGTTTTAGGGCTGTTTTAAGTGGGTCAGCATATATGTGATGATACTAAGAAGACTAATTTAAATTGTTTATATACATAGATAACATACTAGTATTAATATAAATTTCCTTCCAGCAGCTTTTTCCATCTTTATTAAGTACTGGAAATCTAAAGCTGATTGGTTCATTTGGCGCAGAGAAATTGATTTTATTTCACAACAACAATTTTGATGATCCATAGTTAGGCTTACCATCTATCTAAAGCAAAAGTGCGGACTGGACAAGCCAACCTTGGTTCCATTCTGAGGCTTGTTAATAGTCAATTTGTATTGAGATCAAATAAAAAAATATCTATGACCATCATACTGTATAAGCGGGACATTTAGGTCTTCCAACTGGGATTGAGGGACAACTTACTAAAATCACGCGGCGCGGCGGTGTGGCTCAACGGGCTAAGCGTTAGGAATACGCTCGCCACCGCACCTCTAATTACTCTGCGTGGGTTTGCAGGTTCGAATCCCATGAAGGGATGGTTATGTGCGAGAGGATTGCTGAACTCCTCGCCGTCGTTGGGTGGTTCACGTACCGCTGGTCGGTTACGGCTTCCTCCACCACCGAGTCCATGCTTCCGAAAACAAACAATACAGTAAAACTAATCCCATACCCGACTTGGAATGGTAACCGGACGAGAGGCCGTGGTTCGCCATATGGATAAGCCGTCTTATCGGCTTTCCTCTCCCCCGGGATAAATATGTAAATCCTATCCTTCCTATCGTATCTGGACTGTCTCGGATAAACCAGAATGTATGGTAACTGGTAAACCTACCCATAGTCACACTTCACATCTTGAAACACGAATACTATTATTACCTGTAAGAACTTCTGTATTGCGTCTTTCCCAGAGACCGGATTCCCTTCCCATAGCAATTGTGCCGTATCATGATACAACTTGCTAATCATCTGAAGAAATATAAAGTTTTTTTATAATGCAAATAAACAATAGCAGTAGCAAACCCCATTGGAGATAAATATGTATGAGCGGATTGCTGCATTCCTCGCCACTATGAGACGGTTCGCATGAAAACCACTGGTTACAGTGTCCCCACTATCGAGTCAATGCATCTGAAACAAATTAACTGTTACCTATCCCATACCTGACATGGACTAATAGCGAGACGCTGCGTTTCACCATATGATTGAGTCCTTGTATTGACTTTTCTTTCCCCCAGATTAAATATAAATTTGTATCCCTGACATGGTACACAGCAAGTTTGGGAGGGTATGATTAAAACAAGACTTATCTAATTTCCTGAAATCCCAAAGTTCCCAGCAGGGACGAAGTTAATTAAGTTAGAAGAAATTAGAATTTTCCATTGAAAGTCAAAAAGTACGGAGTTAACCAAGGATTATCGGAAATCTATTACAGAAAGAAAGCTTTCATCATATCTGGCTATGAATGCAGATTAAATCTCATAAATAAACTCACATGTCTCTTCTTGTCGAAAGTTTCATAGAATATTTTGGTAAATTTCTCTCCTGCTTCAATAGCTGCTTCTATTTGAGAGGTCTGAAAAGGAAGTTTAAATGTTTTATGCAACAGCTCTTAAATTTGATTTTCGTGACAATTGTGATTTGTGAGCGAGTTGGCCTAGCGATTTAAGCGTTAGACTTTACTTAATAGATTCACAAGTCTGCAAATTACATATCCAAGGCTCAAATCTTGAGGCCGCAACATCACCCAAGGGGTTATAAATTGGGTATCCATTATCAAACTGAAGATTTCAGTCCTTCTGTTTGATTTCACAGGGCCCTCGGAGCAAAAGATGCGACTAAGTATTCTATGAGATAATGAATGGCCTTCACAACAAAAATATTTACTGAAATCAACAAAATAGATGGATCAGAGCAAAACACACTGCTTGGAGCCTCATGCTGTAAGTACCGGTACCGTAGCTTCCTCAATAATACATGAGACACCTGTGATGACAAATACGAAGTTGGAATATTCTGATTTGACGACTTGCAGAATGGGGTAAAAATTGATGTTAGTCAAACTTCAGAAACCATGAAACTGTGGAAGAGCGAACTTTAGTCGCGATTACTTTTGGTTAAATTAAGAATACACACAATAACGTCATTCAGTTATTTCATACACTGTGTACGAAAAATGGTTAGAGAGCTTAAATCCGTGGTTCTCAAACTGGGCATCGCGACGCTCTCAATAATAATCTGAAATATTCGCGGCTGTCACGTGACCAAACTTGCCGTTTTTTGCTAAAAACCCTCGTATGCCACGGAATAATTTTTTTCCTTCGGTGAATCGGATTATTTTTTCACGAGGAATTCAATGATGACGTTATTATATTGCGCTCTTTTGTAGTATTTTGCGCAACTTCATTATACTGTATTATTACCGATATTGAGGGACATCAATGTCCAGACGTCTCCCGAAAGAGGGGTGTCTGATCATCAGTAAAATAGGTTTCTCTGAAACGAGACAATGTCACCCAATCTATACAGTGTGCCGTACTGAAACTGGAAATGACAATATATTAATTATTGTAACTATCGATTTTAACTATATGTGACTTGACAAACATCACGGATCATTCAATACTGTTCCAATTATGACATCACACAGGATGGATCAGATATGCATGCTGTTCATTTCTAATTTTTTTATGAACATGGGAACATCAAGCGTTGTTCAGCACTTCGTCTGCGCGTTAACCTAAACAGATATTCTTTATTGACAACACAGCAGTTCTCTTCAGGCATAATTTAAATAAACTCCTTGTAAAAGAGGTCTCTTATTGAAAGGTATCCAGACATTTTTCACGGGATGTCGCAGCTTAGCCATATTTTTTTCGAGGGCGTCGCAATACCAAGAAGTTTGAGAACCACTGGCTTAAATCATAAAATGGGGTTCTGCCTGGCTATTGTGTGGAGGTCTGCATTAAGGCAGTACCGGTACCGGTATAGGACTATTACCGGTACCAGTACCGTACATGTTCTATCCTCTGTGTTGTTCATGTCAGAGAACCGAAATAAAATGATTGTTGGATGGATTCAGCTGTTTGTTGGCACATTTTAGCCAATTCAAGTTTATCCAATCAGTAACAATATCAATGATACAATTTTTCTCATTTATCTATTATTTATGTTGAAAAATAAAAATAATGCCGCTTACCAAGGAGTCTTGATCAGCCATTCCTTTGACACCGTCGATAATTAACATGTGTTGTGTTCGTTTCAAATCTCTCAAGTGAGAGTGACGCTTGGTTGGCTCGAGTGACAAAACTAGTATTTCAGAATTGAATGATCTCGTAGTCTCCGTAGCGCAATGGATAGCGCGCTGGACTTCTAATCCAGAGGTTCCGGGTTCGAGTCCCGGCGGAGATGGTATTGCCGTTTTTCACGCTATTTACTGAAATCCACCCACGGAGAAACTGGTTCGACTTGACTAGTTTATTGAAAGCGAAGCAATAAATAAAGACATAAGGTCACCCACCATTCATAGTTTAGGATACATCTACCTGTACCTCAGTCTTCCGACTACAGTCAGGGGCCGCCAACCCGTTGCCCGCGGGCACCAAGTCGCCCGTGAAGACCGTGAGTGGTCTTACTGCTTACTGAATAGAGCGCAAAACAGAAGAAAACAGCGCGAAACAGAAGAAAACCAGCGCAAAACTGAGGGAAATAGCGCAAAACAGAAGACGTAGTTATTAGCACCGTCTGCCACGAATGAACCACGGCGCCTCTCGCCAGGTCATTATGCGAAATTTTATCTACCTTTTTGGTGCTCCAGAGTTATGTGCACCAATATGTCGCACAACCTGAATCTACTACACACACACACACACACATACTATTTTCAGGTTGTGCGCCATTTTGGTGTACATACTTCTGGAGGTCCCTTTTTTATCTAACCGTAACCCTAAAGCCAACCATATCCACATGGAAAATGTTCTAAATTATGGTACCCAAAATGTGTCACCAGCAGGGGCAGACCTGCCTACATGCCTTGGTTTGTGTTTTTAATTTGCTGCCGTGGTACCTCAACTCAAAACAAGGTGCCGCGAACTCATTGCAAATTTTTTTTCTGCTTTACGCTGTTTCCCCTCTGTTTTGCGCTCTTTCGCGCTGTTTGCGGTATTTTGCGCTGTATTCAGTAAGTAGTAAGACCGCACATGAGTCGCCCCGCAGGTCTGTTCCAAAATAAGCTTAATAACGGCGCTTATAAGTAAGAAATTAATTTTTGTCATGTTATTCTTGTATAAATCACACTTATGTCCCATTTGGGAACTGGGAATAACACTAAACGGGTGTTTTGCGGGGATTCGATCCTTTTATGAATCTAGTTGTGGATGATGGAGCAGAGAGCATAAAAGACGGGACGACTGCAACTGTTGAAATGGTGGTTGCTCGTGGAAATTTGATATTAATGTTGGAAGCATTGAAAAGGATTCGATGATTTTAAATTGAACTAATCGAAAACCACAGAACAACCCGATTTAACAATCCTTTCAAGACATTTAAATTTGGCCTATACAGATATTCCGTACTGGATTGTCTAAAATCTAAATCATTGAGTGCTTCAAAAGTAAAACAGTCCGAAGGTTCAAGACATTCGCGTATCTTTTGTTTGTCTATTTCTGGACCAAGCCTTGTTTAACAAGGATTGTGTTTTTTGTTATTTTTTTTTTTTGCGTGTGTGCTGGTGGGCGGGCACATGATATTTCTCATGTTTTAAACTTTTTTAAGGTTTTGATCGCTCTTCAGAATTCCCCTTTTTGTGTGTATTATGGAGTCTTCAAAATAAATCTATCTATCTACTATGTTAATTATTATGGTAACGATCATCCTAACTTTTATTCGACCTCAGTAATGTGACGGGTCATTTAATACTCTACAAGTTATGACATCACACAGATGTCACATTCCACGAACCCACGTTTTTTTCGTGTCCGTTGATTTGTGGAGAAGCAATGCCAATAATACAATTATTGATTTCAAAAAAAAATTGGCAGAAAAACGAAAGAAAACCAACCATTTTCACGATAAATGGGAGGTGGATTTTCTTTTACCACCGTGAAAACGGCTTTCGTATGTCTCATTTGTGAGTCGATTATAGCCATATTTCACATTTTGTCACTATCCATTGGTCAGCGCAGTGCGGGCGGAAAAAGCTTGCCTTTCAAATCAAACAGCAATCTTATGTTACGAGATCAGTGTTTGGTTCAAACCATCTTTGTGAATCAACATTTTTTTACATGAACTTCACAAGGAACTAGGCACGGAATACGCCTTACTTTATAAAAAATCTGCATGACCGCACAGCGGTATAGTGTGAAGTTACACGCGTACAACACACTGGCGGAGAGATTTGTTCAATTTTGGTTTTCTCCTTGTTGAAAACAAGATATTCATAATTAGTTAAATGTGTTTGTAAATGTAACATTCGGCAGTACAAATGTTAAGTTCATTTAATCTTAGGGTTATGCAGGGTGTTTGTAAATAAGTAAGTAGGCTACATTGTGGACCTGTGGTTTCCGAGGTATTATTGCAGTGATCACTTTAAAATCAATTTGAAAAACACTCAGTTTGAAAATGAAAGTGTCATTGCTAGTAATTTATTTGCTACGTTGTGATAATTGTTTGATTTCCTGAAGAATCATAAGTTATGTGTTTTTACTTGACTAAACCAATTGAGGGTTAATCGAGCAAATTGACTTTTTTCAAAGTGCATTGAACTGGTAGCCCTTGGCTTAAACAGTACCCAGAAAGTAGACCTCGGCTTCGAAAAGGTTGGTGATCCCTGGACTACACTGTCATAACTAGAGATGTATCGGCAATATCGGCTAAATTATATTTCCGATATATTTTTCCTTTTTGATATGATCCAGAAAAAAGTTTCAAAAGATAATTTAAAATACTACTTTTTAATTTATCTTTTGTCCAACAAAATTAAGAATTTGGATGTAAGTACAACGGCGACCGTACATTTGAACCCATGTACATTTGAACCCATGCGTATATCCACGGGTTCAATCTATATGCGGGTGCTAAAACCCATAGGTTAGGGTTAGTATGGGTTTAACTATCCGTGAAACAAAAAAAATTTCATAGGTGCAATAGCATACAGGTGCAATTGTCATGGGTTCAAATGTAATGGAACCAAGTACAACACCATTGAGTGATGATACCACATACTATAAATCGGGGGAATGGTCAAGTTTAAAGGGTGTGTGAATATATGGTATGCACCACTCAAGGGTGATAGTGTGATAAGTGGTCTATGGCTGTTCTGGCAAAAATGTGACCCTACAAGTTATGGTGAATGTGATAATGAATGTTGCGAATCAATTACTTGCTCTTCTAAGGTTGTGACGAGAAATAAGTCGTTAAGCCCAGGAATTCCATTCACTCTATGTTTTTATGAAAAAAAAGAAACACCACCTGCAAACATGTAAGTTTAAAAAGGTAAGTATCGGTGAATCAAAGTCTACTTGTACTATTCCAGTGGCATTCCTACCACATGTAAGTTTCTGACTATATTTGTATTAAAGCTATGACTATGTCCTACCATCAATATTAGTGTATTGTTGGATTATCTAGCTCGTGATCAGTCATTCTTTTAGAGTTTCCAGTGATGTTGGACTCCATCGACAAGTCCCAACACCCCCTGGGTCCACACGGAAACTCGATAATAAAATAACTTGTATAAAAAATCTTTAGGTTGTTTAAATATGCAACGTGACTGCTCCGCTTACTTTACAATGTGTTTTGTTGTGAGTGGCAATAATGCAGTGTAATTTGTATATATATATATATATATATATATATATATATATATATTGAATGAAGGAGATATTTGTGTACAATAAAATAGTTTTGTTTTCTTTGTTTGAAGTTAACAGTATCCATTGTGTATCGAAATGACAGATCAAGTCAGGTTATCATTAAATTATATGTTTCCTAGCTGAATTGTCTTGTTAAAAGATATATTTAACTAATAGGGCAGTTTGGATGAGTTAACCACAAAACCATGTTGCGCTCTCATATCTCAAGAACTACAATAGATATGTGTCATACTGCGTGTAAACTTGTGCCATTCACAATTACGGTATATGGTGAATTTGATGAATATCTAGGGACACATTCGCCTAAGATCTTGCAATGCGATATTCAAATTAAAAAGGCAAATATGTTGGTTATGCTGTAGCTTCACTACCTAAACGTGACGAGTTCAACGAGTCAATGCTTATTCACTACTGCACGTATACTACACTAAATCGTGTCAATGTTCATTAAACATTGCATTGGCATTGTTGAGGTAAGTATTTGTCTGAAACGGAAGAATTTGCCTTCTTCCAAACTTCTAAATTTCACCAAATTCCCATCGAGCCGCTATTCAGAAAGATAATGTTTCTACCACTGATAAAAGGTGAATTTGACATGGTCGAAGCGTGTCCATTTCACACTATGTACAATCTACATTTTACAACATGGAAACCCCAGCAGAATTCTGGCATAAGCCCTGTATATCCTGGGATCAAAAATTGAATCCATAAATATACTATAGTGATTTGTTACCACTACACATAAATTGTTTGTTGAATGAACTGACTTGTGGATTATGATCCCAGCATTGACGGACAATAATTTTGCCGTGCGTTTAGTTAACTCGAACTGTTTATCTGTCGATAGGCTCCGGCCGTGGTAAATAGACGTTTGAAACACCTTATGAGTTTTATTGCAATTCTGACAATATACATAGAATACAATGCACAGTGCACACACAACACAGTTAGATCAAATCTAGTCTGACAAACAATAAAAATATTGCAGAATATATAGGTTTCTACAGAGAAATTAAAATATAATCAAAATCAGATTTTCACAATAACAGTGAAAGGATAACGCGTCATTCCGGTTTCTCGGTAACTTTCGATTTTCTATAATCAGGCATTATTATTTATTACTAGCAATTTACTTGTTGTTGCCAAGTCGTCGTGTTCCTGGTCGCGTACTGACTCCAATTATGAGATTTATAAAAAGTGTTTTCAAGTTGATAATTAGATTTTAACAGGATGTTTCAAATTTTACGTTATTAGAGTTTTACTGGAAATGAAATTTATTGGACGCGTAGTGGACATAATGCAATATTATGTTGTTGTTGTTGTTTTCTTCGTCAACATCATAATTAAAAAATCGCCTTTTCGAATACTGGACCAATTGCATTGAAATTTTCAGCGGTTAAAGATAAAAAATTTGCTCCAGAAGGCTATTACTTTTTTGTTGCTATGACGTCATCTAAATTAGGTGGCGCTACGTGTCCATATATTCAGGCATATCTCTCTTGTTTTTACATGGGATGGCACCGAAAGGCTATTAAAATCTGAAATTGGATTTCAAAAAATTGATAATTGCTATTGCGGGAGTAATCAATTCTGTTTTTCATAAGTTTCTCACGAATTGGGCCAATTTGGTGTAGTTTTGTAGTTACATA